ATTTAGGCAGGAGGAGCATTACTACTGCAACCAGTAAGAATGAACGAGGTAAGAAGACTCTGATTAGCCTAGGTAAATGAATCATTTCCTCCAAGAACTCAGAGATTCCCCAAACTGGGTAAGACTGGAGCATCCTCCTTTGAAACCTAAACGCCCTTCTCCTGAGGGAATGGTTAAAGAAAAACGCTGCAAGCTCTCAGGAGCTGCTTAACCCTCCTGTTCTTTTTCCCATGTTAATTCCTGGAGAGGACACAGTCCCTTCCTAATAAAGAAGAATGAGCAAATACAATGGTTACAGCAGATGCATTATTTTAGTATAATCAGGCCTCTTAAAGAACATTTTATGATGCTACGCAGTTTAACTAGAATTGTGATGACATTAATATTGTTGTGTCCCTGTTTCTCTCCTCACTGTGCTAGCTATTGATTAGCATGCCTCAGACACTAAATGGGAATAAAACCACTGATGGTAGTCTGGTAGTCTGCAGCTGCAGAAACAAACTCACAGGCAGCATAGTGAAGCAAATTCAGGTACTCTGGTGGCAGCTTTTGGGTTATTTTACATGATTCTAAGTAGCCAACCACAAAGAGATCCCCAAAAGTCAACCTGGAGCTACGTTCCTTTTCTGTGGTTTAAATCCTTGCAATGAACAAGGCACCATGAAAATGAAGACAGAGCAAAGAGAAGGCAGCAGATGTTCTCCAGGCAGCATTCTGCGCAATCCAAGCAGCAGTAACTCCTCCAAGCACACAAACCACCTAGCTTCCTTATGAACTTAGCCTTGTCTATATGATGCTAAATCCAACTACTTCAGCTAAGAATGACCTGTTAGATCATTCCGTGAGAAAAGCAGATGAGATTCAACTCATAACAACTTCGTAAGTGTGTAAGGCATCTACTTACAGAGCAGGCTAATTGGGCATATCAGGCTGAAAGGACCGACCTTGGGGCAAAGAATTTTTATACTAATTGTTACAATCGTTTGTCAGACAAGACTGAGGGAAATGTTGCTGTGTGTCACCACAACAGCTATGGCGTGAAACTGAGGTTTAGCTGTGGGATATATTACTGTATCACCCTCCAAGCTGCTGCACAACCTTGGGTATAATGTGGCACTCATTTCTGTTTTCCCTCAGCAAAACAGGGATTACAGTGATGTCATATGTGAAGATTTTAAGATCATCAAGCAGTGACTCAAGTACCCATCTGGTTTACTCAGTTGCAGCCATGCTCAGATTATGGGCATGCAGGTATCTCAAGCCTGCTAGTGGAAAACTGCTTGTTAAAAAAGTTTTGGGGCTTTCAGGATTTGGTGGAAAGGTGGTGTGGGGGGGGGGGATTCACAGCTGTCTGTCCTGACAGATCTTCTGTGCTCCGTGTCAACAAGCCTGAGCAAACATATCTGACAGCGACCATCCATCTAATCCTTGAGCACATCTTTCCATCAATACAGCTAGCTGCCTTATCAGCCTTTTCATATGTTTATTGTTTTCCCTGTATGCTTGTGGAATAAGTGATTGCTAAGATCTCCATTACACAGGTAAGTAACTGAAACATGAAGACCATGTGCCTTGCCTGCAGTCTATACTTGGAGTTTGTAGTAGGACAGGAAATTGTTCCTGTGCCTCCTCCATTCCCAGGCTATTAGCCACTTTCTCTCCAAGCACAGAGTTCTCCTAGCTGCTGGCAGCTGCTGGAGTGCTACTAAAAGGAGAGCCTCTAGGTCACATGCACCTCACTTCTGGTCAGGTGAACCACTTCGCTGAAAGCAAATGTAAGGTATATTTTGGAGGATGATTGACTTACATGCATCAATCTTATACGAGAAAAAAGGGTTCTGTGTTTCACCTTATGAAAATGAGGTTTACATAACTGCAAAAACAATGCAGGATTTCTACTGAAATTTGGTGTCAAGTGTCTCTAGCAACTTGGGATGTCTGGCGGTGCACAATCTGCTGTCATTAATTAACACGGTCTTACAAAATCAGTTCTAATTAGCTGATGTCTTTCCATTATGAATATATATGAAACAGCTTCATATTGTAAATGCATGCGTACTTTTTTACCCCGAAGTTAGCGTCTGGGATTGGCGGATGTTCTGGGGGGCAGAAAATGCACTTAATCCAGCTGAGCTTGCTCTTTCTTTCTTATGAATAGCAGAAAGGAAGGCACTGGTTTGGGTACTTGGCCACGTATTTGTAACCAAAATACAGCGCTAAATAAGATGAAGGATGGATTTAAGGCACTGGCCTGGGAATCCGTGGACCGGCTTTCATTTCTAGGGTCTGCCATGCGTTTCTTGCACAATACTGTGCAGATCACTTAACAGCTCAGTGCTTTATTTGCCCATCTTTAAAGTCAGAATGTAAAGCCCATTAAGACTTTAGGTCTAGAAGACAAGGGGAGTTTTACTTGGAGTTTACAATTCCTAGCACAAAAGGTAATGGCGTGAAAGCTAACATCCCATCAATGCAGCGAGGAGGCTGATGGCAAAATGTCTTCCACGAGGATTCTTTCCTCTGTAATCCCCTCACTTGGTCCATGAAAGAGTCTCACTCTGAGGGGACATTGTAAGATTGACCCATTTTTGCAGGCTTTTGGAGAAGGGCAGGTCAGAGGGACGTTGCTGGTTGACTTTGAGGTTAATGTCTGGAGGTTGGGGGATGTCTCTTTCTAATGGTAAGAAATGGATTTTTTCTACCACACTGGCTGTCTGTAAAAATACTCTGCACTGTAACGAAGTCATAGTTTTAAATAATAAGAAAGACAAACTATATCATAAGCCCTTCCAATTCTCCCCACGTAAAAATTGTTGTAGTCACCAAACACCTCTCATTAGGATTGCTAAAGATAAACCCTCTCCGCTTCTTTATATCTTCACAAAAGCTTTTAAAAGTGTAGACTTACATCTGCAGGAAACAACTATTATTAATGAAGCAGTTTGATTTCTTTTTAAATAGGACACTGCAGCCATTTGCTCTGCTAATTATTAACAGGAATGCTGATGATATAGCTGCACTGTTCTGGGATGCTGAGTATTATCTAAAATTCTCTTAAAAAGCACTTTAGAACAACAAACCACATCTGAAGTGTGAACTGAAACTATAAAATAATATACATAGAAACCAGCTGCAGAAATTATTAGCCCACGTTTCCCCCAGCATTTTTGCTTGGAAACATATCTGATGCAACATGAGAAGCATTGCTTCACAAGAACATCATAATTTTGCCAATGCCAGTTTCTATTAAAGTATCCTAATAAGTAGCAATTATTGCAATAAATAAATGCATATCAAGAATAATTGCAGATGTAGATATGTAGATATCATACTAGCACAAGTCAGAGGAAAGCCATTCTCTTTCATAGATGATTTCAATACTTGGTTTTAGTCTCTTCCGTAAAATTCTGTGTGCGCCCACACACACACAAAGACCAGAGTTTCAGGCTCAGGCAAACTCTTCCTGGGGCACTGCTGTAAAATTACAAACCATGGCAGCCTCAGGTCCTCAAATCAGCAACAGTCTGTCTCCTGCAGATGGGCAGACAGATGAGCCAGAAGGAAGCAAGGCAGGCGATTTTGAAAAACCAGCTCAGTCTCTAGAACTTGATGATATAAAACTCTCTCCAGAAAATAACTTAATTTATAGAGATTAGCAAGTTCTCACCAGAAACTGTGGTGCTGGTATGTTTTTGACGAGCTCTAGAAGGTGTCTGTCATGTGTTTTGAGAAAGAAAAATGAAAAATTATTTGGGTGCGTTGGTGAAGAGGAGAGCAAGAGTTGCTAGAGAAAAAAAACGGAATAATCAAAAACTACATGAAGGGGGAAGAAAGTCTAGAAACAGCTGAAGTAATGGCTCTGGTGTGCTTTCATCCTCTGCTCTAAATGCTCTTCTCCTCTTGTGGTTACCTCTTTTCTCAACCTGCTGTCAAAGAGGTACTCTCTGTACGTCTGTCTTTCTCCCCCTCTTGCTGATACCAGTCGTCTTTCTGAAGGGCTGCGTAGTCTTTCCTTCCTGCTTACTCACATTTTTTTCTTAGCAGTTCCTTTGTCCTGCTACCATAGAAGCCTGGATAATCACCATCTATATTTTCCTGCAAACATTTTCACAATTCCGTGTTGAACTCCTCTCCTTTGCATTTGGGATGCCCGTTCAAACAAGTCCACAGACCACAGGTTTTTCCTTAGCTATAGCCCCAACTTTACCACTATATAAGATGGCAATGGCAAGGCAGAGAGATGGTAAGGATTGCTGATATTTGCTTTTTAAGACAAATCTGAAATAATCGACAATTGCGTTATTCACACAGGGTCTTAGGTCAGTAGGCCTCTGGACTGTTCCCGGTGGTTCTGTCAACAAAGATACTATTTAGGATAAGCTTAGCTTCAGGGCCAGAGCCCTCTACTAAGGTCTTTCCTTTCTTCTACTGTTCTAAAAAAGTTAAATGCAATTGTGTCAACACATTTTTCATGCTTTCTACAGCCTTTCTTTAATGTTTACCAAGTGACCTCTTGGAGTCAGTTAGTGCCAGCACCTTTTACCCATGAACTGTTTTCTAATTCAATTTGTTAAATGCAAGTAACCATAAATAATTATAAATCAATTACTGAGTTTATTCTATACTTCACCAACCAAAAAAATCATAACAAAGTACTTCTGAAGCTGATTGAGCAAAATGAACAGTTTCGTAAGGCAAGGCATTTGTGCTTCAATTTATCTTTTCCTTCATAATAACACTATTTGAAATACATTTTGCTAAATATGGGAACTACTCTTGTAGAAGAAATCAATTATATTCTTAAGTTTAAATCTTCTTTTTTTCCCAGTTATGCTCTAATGTATCACTGTACCTCAGAAATGTACCCTGGGGAAAATGCTTCTATTCTTCACTAAAAATCCATGAATAACATTATGTAGAAATTCATTTATGATAAATGATTTAAAATCTTAACCTAGAATGGCTTCTTATTCAAATGTCATCAGAAAATGGCACCTCACCCGCAGAAAGGAGTCAAGGGATCCATTCTCCATGTATTCAACTACAATCATTACTGGTCTGCCTGCAAAACAGCAAAGAAACACATCAGGATTATACACATATTATGGGGTTGTTATGTTTCCAACTGTTATGCACAGATTATTCACATTACTTATATATGTTGTGCATTTTCAAAATCCTCGTTTATATCACAAACACACTTCCCTGTGTTTTTCTCTAAGCAGTATCTACTACCAATTTTTTGGTGGTACTGGATTACCTGAATGCACATGATTTGCTCTGATGCATTCTTCCCTTTTTAAAAAAGGATTTCTTAGTTCCAAATAGCTACGTTCACCGTACCTTCCATTAGGAACAGTTCTGTCTAAATGTACACTGAATACATATATACCTTACACTAAAATTTTGGAATGTATTTGACGTAAGGTAAAAAACCCAATCACGAGCCATCTCCAAGATACTACAAACTCAGTGCTATCATTTTCCCCCTCAAAGAAAAAAAGCTTAAGGATTTAATGATATGATTTAATATAGATAGGTAGAGAGAGAGATATTCATTAAAAATCTAGCCTGAGAGGTAGATACTCATTAAAAATCTAGGTTGTATGTATGTATTGGCACATATTGACTCAATTCAGCAAAATGCTGAATTCACTTGTGTGTTTTTAAAACCTACACTATCCCATTCAAATCAAAGTTTTACTCAACTAACGTGGCTTTCCTGTTTCATTCCAACTTGGGTTTATTAAGCCTTTTTAGAAGCAGTATAACAGGCAATCTTTATTTCTGAAAAAATTGTCCAAATCAGAAGATAAAATTTAAAACTGGGCACTTCATAACATTTCACTCTTCATATCCAGGAATAAACTGCTACTCTACAGGTCCTTGACAGGAGAGGCCCCATTAGCATGCTAATCAGGCTATGCAGCAAGGGGTTGCTTTAGATTCGTTAATATTACAAAGGAGCCATAATAATATATGCAAAACTAATGTAATGAATAAGTATGTTAGTAAGATGGGGAAGGTGGTGAAATGTCTTAAAATGGTAAGCCTTTCTTTTCCTGAGAATGCCTTTCTCTTATGGGGTTTGTGTGAACTAGGAACTATGCTAACTGGTGAAATCATGCGACTTCCCATTTCATTTTCTCAAAACAACACTAACTGTTTCGATTTTATTCAAAATCAAAAGAAGCCCGTTTCCTGATTTTTTTCCTCTGTCTCTCATATTATTGTTTTGTTTTCTTTAGACAGGGTGATGAGGAAAACCACACCATTTGAGGTGAGAAAGCACAGAACAGCATCACAGTATTTCCAGTACAATTTTCTGCTCCGTTTTTCTACATGCTCACGTGCTGTCCTGTTTGACTGTTAGTGGAACTGTTTAGTAAATTGTCCACACTATACATTAAATGATAGCCAGGCATTTCTCCTGAGCTGTTACAGCTTATCTTGAATTTAACAAAGTGAATAAGCAGTTTCACTGTTCCTTCCCCACACGTCAACATTGAGTTCCACATACCCCAGCAATGCTCATTCACACAGCTTATTCTAGTCTTCCTGAAGTTCCTCACAATAGTCTCTCATTTCTTCTACTCAAATTTGGCGTCTCTGTATTTGCCCTCACTTTTAGGTCCTCAATAAATACAACAGCGCTTAACAGTGTTTGCACAGTAGTAAATTCTTTTCAATGTGAAAATTCTCAGCCACATTCCCATTTTTTTAGACAGTCTTTCTGAAGTGTGAAAAATCATCAACTTTTTTTTTTAATTGAATGGTTGGTCTCATCTGTAAGTGTGTGTCTGTGGCCACATCAATTTCTTCATACGTCTCTATGTCCATTGGTTATACTTGGGTTTTGCGCTATAAACTGAAGTGATATAGCCCTCGTAAGCTCTGTCTTAGACAGCAGAGCATTTTAAAAATAAATGTCGTATTTATTTCAGCTAATGTTGACTAGCTGGATTGCCTAGTCTCTGTAGTGGCAAACACCTGTCAAGTGACTGACATCTTCATTTGAAAGGATTATTCTACAATCGAGAGAAGCAAACTAACGGCACACTCATGCTAGAAGATTTGACTATGTGCAGAAGCTACCTTTACAGGTAGGCTCTCTCAGGCAAGTAGTAATTTCCAGACTGATACAGACAACAGTATCTTGCAATAAATATGGATGTAAATCTGGTTTTCAGATGGTATATTTGGTTAAAGTTACCCAGACATTTCTCTTTCCGGGTAAATCAACAAATAAAAAGTCTGTATGGGAAATTTGCACTCGAAGGGAATGACAAATGGAGCTATTGAGCTTTGAAACAATGCCCCTAGTTTCCTGTTAGTAATTCCTTGGCGCGTTACACTTTCCAAAAGACATTTTGTAAGGTTATTCAGAGGCTCATATGCTCTCCTTACACCTTTTATGCCCCTTAGATGCATATCCTCAAACACAAATTATTTTCAGGCATATTTTGTAAAGCCAATGTTTAATTCTTGTGTGTTCTTTACAGACTAAACAAAACCCCCCCCGACAAACCTGTATTCCATTTTACTCAGACCAGTAGTATGAATTTCTAGGCTAAACTATCTATGAAATATATCTATATGCATTTATTTGTAGATTAAAAAAAAGATGTCAGTATCTTTCACTAGGTAATGTTTATTAGTTTTTAAATTGCTTGATGGGTCTTTAATCACTTGAAATGATATGCCTCAACACTTTAAGCCATCCTTGATGAAAATACTGCATCATCAGAAATAAATATTTAGCCAGCTTCATGTAAGTTGGCTAAATATAAGCTTTTCCATATGATAGCACAGGAAGGGCATGATCTGCTAAACACATCAAAATAAGTAGATTTGTATCTTCCGACAGGTAGATGTATACTGTAAGATCAGCACACTATGAAACATTCAGTAGTTTTGGCGAACAATAAATTTGGTCACTGAGGCTGAGGTTAGCTCCCCACGGACTCCATCTGTATCCTCTTCCATGCTACCTAAATCTCAAATTAACTTGATGCAAGATTGTGTAAACCTCATGAGACACTACCAAATATGAAGCCACTACCAGCTATGAAGCCTTGACTGCCTTAAGCAAACATCTTAAATTTGGATCCTAACACTATCTTCTCAAATAATTCTTTTAGTATGCCCACACTTGATAAAAGCCATCATATTTTGGCCGCAAGCTTAATATATCACTGAAGATTTTTATGTATTCCAAGCTACACTGTTACGGGCAACACAATAAGACTTTTAGTCAGCATATTTGTCTTTGGAGTACATGCAGATCAAAATCGTCTCAACTATTGTTTCAGTTACTTGAAGATGTGGTAATAAAAAACTCTGCTACACAGCAGATGCTAATGGATACATTTATCACCAAAACGGAACCTACACTGGTTCTATTCCCAGTAAACAACTTACTTTCAGTAATTTTGTAAGTTTGCAAATTTCATATAAAGAGCTGAAATCATTTTAGAAGCATAAATGCATGAAGCATCAGGAAATATAAGGTAGCACATGTCTTGATTTCAAAGGTGTGGAAAAACAGATCCAGAAAATCAAGTGGCCCTCTCCATCTACACCGTACAGGGTAAAATGACGCTAGCCAAGGAGGTTTTGTTTAGCTGCCAATACACAAGATTGTATTTTGCTCCCTAGCTCAGTGCCTTGCAGAGGAACTTCAGCGGTGATTCCACTGCGATTCTGAAGCTCTGTGAACAGACCCTCTGTTCACAAACGCTTGAAGGTCTGGGACTAGAATTTGGCTCTGGAGAAGCCAGCTGAGATGTGAGGATGAACAGCCGCACCCTGCCACATCCCGGGTGGGTATCCAAACATCGGACATCTCAGCCCAGATACTGAGAGTCACCAGAGTGCCAAGAGCATGCAGTGGGACAGCTAGGACTGTTCTCTGTGAGAAACACAGATCCTGAGATGATTAGCCATTGCACTCCATCAGTTCCAAATCTGGGAAGCAAACTCTGAAAACACAACTCCAGTTTTGATACTCTAGATGTAACAGAGCACAATCTGGGATGCATAACCTTTACGGGGTTAGAGGGTGGCAAATAGCCCAGGGTTTTCATGGAACAAGGCTCCTGATAAGAGAGAAAGTTGCCATTAGTTGGTATTATTTCTTTTTTAGGCACAAAGAGAAGGTGTTATCATTTATAGTGTGGGACAATCTGAGTCCTGAAAAGATCGCGGTCTGTGCTGAACCCTGTAAAAATATAGAAGATACTGCTTCTGCTCTAAAAAGGACTACAGAATTGACTTTGAAAAATAATATTGGGAGATTTCAAAACTAGCATAATATTTGGCTTTAAACCAAAGAAGAAGAAGAAGAAAAAAAGAGTATTAATCACTTAGATTATAAAATCCATGTTGCTTGTATGGCATTAAGAAAGATGAATTCTTCATCCTCAAAACAAGGAGAGGAGTGAATAAAGGTGGGGGGGTAGAAAAGTCTTTGAGAGGGAGAAGCTATCTTTGATTATTTTATCATGGATAAAATTTATACTACTACTAATTTATACTACTACTCTGGAAAGCACTGAATTCTTTTCCTGTATTTATGATTACTTACACATATGAAACATATGGACATCCATACTTGAAGAAAGAAGTTTACAGACAAACGGAAGTGGGAGACAATAAAGATGAAGGTGGGAAAGGCACTCATGGCCCAGAAGGACGACACAGACTGCACTGCCAGCATTACGTGAGCCTGCCATGGCAGAAACGAAAGCTCACGCTTGGCCACAGGGAGCTCTGTACGGGCACAACAGCATCTGCCAAAAGGCGTTTCTGGGATGGATGCTGAGTGCCCCTGCAGCATAGGTGGAGATCACCAGATGAATGGATGCCCGAACTCTAGTTTAAAAGACTTTAACAGTTCAGGTGAGAGTTTTCACACAAGTGCAAGCTTGGGCTCTAGACAATATCTGAGTAAGAACCAGGTTAATTTTACAGTCAAGACCCACACAAGAGAGGGCAGGGAAAAAGAACACCAAAAAAGACAACATTTTAAGCTAAGAGGACTTGGAATAAAATACAGAGGTC